ATCGACAAACTCATCCGTAAGTAAACCCGTCTCTGGATCATGAGAAGGTCTATCCATCSACGCTCRAAAATATTGATCTCTGTTTGAAGGAGCCATTTTTAAGTTTTTTTCTTCCAATTTTCGTAAATGAAGGTGTGCTCTGTTTTAAAAAGCATTCTCGGAAATTTCCGACGGATTTTCCAACGAAATTCGGTCGGAAATTCAAAATTTAAAACGGCTAAAAATGGCTCTAATTTTTTCCTACCGATTTCCGACCGCGTGAATTTCCGACCGTTTTCTTACCGAATTTTCCAATGGATTTCCTACCGATTGATTTTCCCACGGATTTCCGACCGATCTTGCAACCGTATTGCGACGGGAATTTTTCCGTCGGAAATTTCCAACCGATTTTTGACCGAAATTTTCCGGTCGAAAATCGGTCAGAAATCCGTCGGAATTCGGTCGGTAATTTCCGACCGATTGTTGTCCGTCGGAAATTCGGTCAGAAATAGGCATGTTTTCTTGTAGTGATTGTATACTGTAATTGTTCTCGTTGTATACTGTAGTTGTTCCTTTGGTGACGAGATTCTTTTTCTATCTTAGCTAAGGAATAATGAATAAAATTACATCTCCTAACTGTAAATGGATTAAAAAAAAACAGAACTGAATAATAAAATGTCGTGAAATCAGATGGTAGAATATGGTTAGATCCAGAATGAATATAAACCAAAATGATAACATAACATCAAGTCAATTTAGAAATCACAAAAGTTATAAACTGACCCAAGCTTCCCTTTCAAAATATAATTATCCAAGTGAACTTAAGAGAACGATTAGAACAAAAATTCAAAAATTATGAATGATTGATTAGAACATAATTTAAGATAGCGACAAACTTAAAGAATTACCTTATTGTTCGTGTTCTTCTCCCGTTGATAAAAAAAAATTGAGATTTAAGGAAACAATTATGGAAAAGGATGAAGTAGTAAATTGAAAGTATCAGAGTGTTGGTACTTACTTGAATAACGGGGAAATGTAGTTGAATTTGATAAGCCTTCCTATAACAATTCTCGATGAACTGAAGTAATAGTTAACATGAAGATCGAAGCTCCTAACAATGAAAAAAATCAATGAATAATATTAGAATCACTAAAGCCAGAGTAAACACATCATACAAAATAATAAATAAATTATAGAAAACCATCTTGTTATTATTTGTATCTATGGGGTTACCAAAATTAGGGTTCCTTGGATTTTAGTCGTAAAATTATTAAAATTAGTTTCAAAGCAAGAATATTCGTTGGATAAAATATTGGGTCCAAATCGTAATCTTTGATAATCTGGCCGACTAAGATTTTCCTATAAATGAGGACTTTCTTTGATTGATATTTCTTGGATTTTCTTACGCTTAATATTTTTAGGAAAACTGAACTTATTTTCATTGCTTTTAAAAATAAATTAAACATATTTTAATTGCTTTTGTAAAATGTATTTATAACTTATGTAACTAAATTCAAATTTAACTTATGGTGTTTGATTTCATAATTTGAAGCTGTCTATAATAATTAGAAGGGATGACATCTATTTTTTTTTAAGTGAGTTTGTTAGTATTTGAGTTTAAAACTTTAATGCAAGTTTTATCCAAAGCAAAAACATCAAAAAGATCCGAGTAATTTTAAATAATGATTAAATCCCAAATTGTATTACATAATGATTTTCTCCAAATTTTTACCCGTGAAATTTATGTTTTTGTGAAATATTAGTTTTTTTAATTCTTAGTTTCAAAGATTAGGGTT